ATTGGGAGCTTTCCATCTTTATGAATGGTCTAGAATATTAGAATCCATCAGTTCTTTAAAAGTTAGAGGGAACTTAGCTGTGAAACCATCTGGACATTGAAGTTTCAGTGAAGTAAACCTGAAATTACTTTTCCATTCTCTTTTAGGATACTTTGTGTATTCAAATTTCACTTCTTAAGTTGCTTTTGGTAATTTGTATTTTTCTAAGAAATTTTTACCCATTCCAATTGTCTTGTTCCCACAGGTAGTAATATCCTACAATTCCTCCCTTCTCTTCCATATTCTGTGTTTATGTTTCCTTTCTTATTCCTAAACTTGTATAGTTTAGCTCCCTGTCTTTCTTTTAAGGCAGGCACACAAAAGGATTATTTGTTTTAATTGTATTTTAAAGGATTAGCTTTTGAACTTATTGTTATTTCATCTATTTTTTCTAATTTCGTTATTTTTAGCTTTTATCAACTTCCTCTTCCTAGCTTGTTGTATTTTGTTGCACTGTGTCTAGTTTCTAAAGGTAAGTACTAACTTTCTTAATTTTAGTTCTTTTTTCTCTAATTGTAAAGGTTTTTAAAGCTATGTATGTTCGTCTGGATATGGCTTTTGCTGCATCCCATGGTTTTGCTGTGAAACGTTCTCCTATGTGTTTCTTTCCAAATGCACCGTCCCAGTCATAGAGTATAGTAGGCATGGTCTTTGAGAGCAGGGAGACCTGGCATGCTCATGAGAGCTAGTGTAAGCCCTCCGAGCCCTTCCCGGGTTATGTGGCCCTGCTTTGCTTTGAGGGAGTAAAGGGTTAGAAATATATATGGGTCAGGGGCTGGCCCCGTGGCCGAGTGGTTGAGTTCGCGCGCTCCGCTGCAGGCGGCCCAGTGTTTCGTTGGTTCGAATCCTGGGCGCGGACATGGCACTGCTCATCAGACCACGCTGAGGCAGCGTCCCACATGCCACAACTAGAAGGACCCACAACGAAGAATATACAACTATGTACCGGGGGGCTTTGGGGAGAAAAAGGAAAAAAATAAAATCTTTAAAAAAAAAAAAAAAAAAAAAAAGAAATATATATGGGTCAGGGGAGATGCAGCAAGATGCCAGCTTCCAAGTCTCCCTCACTCCTCAAAACAAGAATATTAGAAAATGTATATCCCACAAGGAAATTAGCACTCAAGTTTCAATGAAGTTAGCCAGTTTCAAATTGATTCCTTAAAACTTCTTCTTTTTTCCCAGCTTTATTGAGGTATAAGTGACAAATAAAATTGATACATTTAAATCGTGCAAAGTGATGATTTGATGTACCCGTACACTGTGAAATGATTACCACAATCAGGTTAATTAACACATCTGTCACCTCACATAGTTATCATTTGTGTGTGTGTGTGGTGGAATATTTAAGATCTACTCTTTTAGCAAATTCCAGGTATACAATACAGTATTATTAACTATAGTCACCATACTGTACATTAGATCCCCAGAACTTATTCATCTTATAAATGAAAGTTTGTGTTCTTTCACTCAGCATCTGCCCATTTCTCCCAATAACTAATGGCAGGATTTCCTTCTTTTTTGTGGCTGAATAATATACCATTTTCTCTAGCCATTCATCTGTTGACAGACCCTTAGGTTGTTTCCATATCTTGGCTATTGTGAATAATGCTGCACTGAACATATCTCTTTGAAATATCTTCCCTTTTCTCCATATCCTTACCACCATTTGTTATCTCTTGTCTTTTTGATAATAGCCATCCTAACAAGTGTGAAGTGATAGCTCATTGTGGTTTTGATTTGCATTTCCCTGATTATTAGTAATATTGATCACCTTTTCATGTACCTGTTGGCCATTCATATGACTTCTTTGTTAAAATGTCTATTCAGGTCCTTTGCCAATTTTTAAATTATATATATTTATATATATGTATATATGTAAATTATATATACACATATTTACTATTGAGTTGTATGAGTGCCTTGTATATTTCAGAAATTAACCCCTTATCAGATATACATTCTGCAAATATTTTTTCCTTTTCCGTAGATTGCCTCTTCACTCTATTGATGGTTTCCTTTGCTATGCAGGAAGCTTTTTAGTTTGATGTAGTCTCACTTGTCTATTTTTGCTTTTGTTGTCTGTGCTTTTGGAGTTATCTCCAAAAAATCATTGCCAGGACCAATATGAAGTAGCTATTTCCCCTATGTTTTCTTGGAGTTTTAGGTCTTACATTTAAGTCTTTAATCCATTTCAAGTTAATTTTTGTGAGTGGTATAAGATAAGGTTCCACTTTCATTCTTTTGCTCGTGAATATCCAGTTTTCCCGAAAACGTTTATTGAAGAGACTGTCCTTTCCCCATCGTGTGTTCTTGGCTCCCTTGTTGAAGATTAGTTGACTGTACATGTGTGAGTTTATTTCTGGGCTCTCTATTCTGTTCTCTATCCATTGCATGCCGCAATCACCACAGAATGTTTTCATTTGTTCTATAAATATTTTTTGAATGCCTACTATGTGTTTGGCAGTGTTCTAGGATTGTGAATAAGTCAGACGAGATCTTTGAACTCACGGGGCTTAATATTAGTAGAAGGAGACCATACCTTACTGGATACAGACAATTATCTGGATAATCACACTAGAGAGAGAGGAGAGTGCAGAGTGTGGGGGCCTTGATAGGGGTTACCTAACCCCATCATGGGGGTCAGAAAAGGCATCTGAGGAGCAGATAGCCTGACAGATTGGTAGGAATGAGTCATGGTGAGGGAAGAGAATGTGCAAAGACTAGGATTGAGAAAAAGTCAGGGAGAACTATGAAACAACAAAGAGCTGCTATTCGTTGGGTGTTTACTACATCCTTACACTCTGCTGAACACTTTACATTCAATCGTGTCTATATCCTTACAACAAGTATGTGGGGTAGGTATTACTTTCCCCATTTCACAGAAAAAGAAATGAAATCTTTAAGTTTCTGAGTAACTTGCTCAAGCTTGTAAGTTAGTTTTGGATAACTCCAAATGCATGATATTAACTGTTATAATAGTCTGTGGTTCTGTCCATTTCTTCTGTTTTCTTCACAGACTTCTTGCCCTACTGTTCCAGACTCTACTCATTATGCCAACTTTGCCTTGGTCCTCGGCTCCTCTTGCTTTATGCTTTCCCTTAAAGCATAGATCCATCAACCACCTCGAGTTATCTCTTCTGGATCATACAGTGGCTTCCAGGCTGTCCACTTCTCACACCACCTGTGCATTCCTTACAAAACCTTTCCTTATGTTATTCTTCCATTCAAGAACAAGTGCTCAATTTCCCAAAGGAAGTCAGAACTCTTCATATTCCATGGCTTCCGTAACCTGGCTCACCCGTTTTATTTCCCCTTAGTGACCCACACAAACCCTCTGCTATAGCTAGACCTGTCTTAGTCTCATTTCTCATGCTCTTTCTTGCTTCCAGACCTTCATGTATGCTTTTCCTTCTACCTGAAAATCCCCTTTTCCTCCTTCACATGCTCATGCCCTATTAATGTTTCAAGTCTCTCAGCATAAATTTTACACGTTATACAAAATCCTCCCTAATTTTCCTCTGTTCTGGTAAGCGTTCTGTTGAAGCCATCATAACATCCTTTACTTAACACCTATCATAGCACAATATTAAAATTTCCTCTTTCTTGTCAGCTACCCATCCCCTTGCCGTAGGCTCATTGAGGGCAGTTATGGTCCTTCCTTGTTTACCATTATATCTCAGCAGTGAAAAAATATTTTGTTAGATGAGTGAATGAACAAAGGAATGAGTGAATGAATCCATTATATGTCCTCCACTGATGCTTTTCCTTCACTTTACCAAAGTAAAAACATATCCTTTACTAAATCCTACCAGTCCCTTAAGACCTAGATTCAATTTTCTCTCCTCCGTGAATTCATCTGTTTACTCTAGGCCTCATTTATTTCTCTTTTCTTTGGCTTTCTTCAGCACTGCTAGTTATAATAATTTAGCACTAAGTTTTGAATTGTCTTTTTTAATTTTTTAGTTGTTTGGTATATGTAGGTTTTGTCTCATCAAGACTTCTTGAGGGAAGTGGCCTATATTTTTTACTTTTTCCTCATATAGGGTTTGGTAGAGAGTAGGGCCCAATGAATACTTGTGGATTTATGCATCTCACCTGTATTCTAAGAGGCATGAAGGAGTTATCATGGAAACCCATGCTAGTGTCATTACAGAGATCCCCAAAGTCTTCTCTTATCTCACTTCCTGCATGATCTCTGTCCTAATGGGTGTTGCCATTCATTGATTCAAAAAACATTTGAGTTCCTACTTGGTACAACATAATTTGACACATAATTATACTTTATCTATACTATTCACTATTTTTTCATACGTGTTAGTTTAGTCTACTCAATTTTACTGTATTTTCCATGAAGACAGTGTCACTTTTTCACACTTGATTACCTCTGTAGTACTTAGTACATACACATACAATATATATTTGCTAAAAGATTGACTAGTTGGATATCATAAAATGGAATGCCATTGATATATGGCCCCTAATGTGATGCTTATTAAAATAGCATTTAATCATATGTACTTTATTTAGGATTGTAATTCATACAGGAAGTTGACTTTATAATTGCTCTCTGTTTTTTTGTATGTGAAGATTTGGAATTGACTTTGATAATTGAAATAATCAAGCTGCTCCCCAAAGAGAAAAATCTCAAGTGTTTATTTAATTAAAAAAGAGTTAAATGTAATTCTTTGCTCTTTCATAACCTATTATGTCATTTATTTAACACTCATTAATCTAAAGATTTCATGAAGAAAACTCATATCTGTTGTATGTTAAAATCCCATAATTAGATAGTTAATTCTTTCTGAAATAATTAGAATGGATAAGTAAACAGAGAATGAAATAATTGTTGCTGAAATTTTACCTCAGGCAATAAGAAACAAAATATTTGCATCATTTTTAGGTCTTTAAAAATATGCAGTATTTGGATAATATTAAAATAACAATTATTTTTTCCTTTCTAGGCAAGTGAAATTACTGATATCAAGGTAGGTCATTTCTAAATAACTAGAGCTTTAAGAATTTTCCTGCTTGACTAACTGTGAAGCTCCCTGCTAATTTACACTTAGAGAAACAAAGTTTAAGAAAGGCCATGGTAGGTAGGGCAGGCCTACGCTCAGCCATTATCGGTTGCGTGCTTGGGGCTACGACAGCGCCCATTTTCCTCTGGAGAGTGTGCTGATGGGACTAACCACCTAGGTCAGTTTTCCTCAGATCTCAATGAGATCCTTAGAATAGTAGCAGAATAGCAAGAGGGTCTTGGAACATCTCTGAAAAAGATGTTTTCCTTGGATTTGTGCAGAAACTTGACCGGATGGGGAAAAGTGAGGGGTTTACCTTTATTCTGCCCCTGGGTAGCTAAGGAAGAATCATGTCTATCATGATAGCTTTTTGTGATTCCAGATTTCCTTAGACCGGTAATTGTGTTTATTAAATGCTCTTTCATTTAAGAAAGGTGTCATAAAATCAGATTAATCAGAACTCTGTATTTATGGTAATTTTTAAGACTAATTTGCCTTTCACTATCCATAAAGTTTGCTAAATAAAATAATAGCACAAAAAAATTAGTACCCTCGGGCCGGCCCGGTGGCACAGCAGTTAAGTTGGCACATTCCACTTCGGCAGCCCAGGGTTCGTCAGTTCGGATCCCGGGTGCAGACATGGCACCGCTTGGCAAGCCGTGCTGTGGTAGGCATCCCACATATAAAGCAGAGGAAGATGGGCACGGATGTTAGCTCAGGGCCAGACTTCCTCAGAAGAAAGAGGAGGACTGGCAGTAGCTGTTAGCTCAGGGCTAATCTTCCTCAAAAACAAAAAAAATTAATACCCTCACAAGTATCTAACAATATCCACTTACGTACGGAAGATTAGCATACTAACTATAACACATGATTAAAGGCAGTCCTTCTGTAGAAATATGTTGTTAGACTATTATTGTTTAATATACATGAATTTAAAAGAAAAAGTGCATATGCAAATACTATTATTCAAACACTTCAGTCATTCAACTGACCTCATGCTAATGTGTCCAAGCAAATAGGCACCAGGAGGTTTTGCTATTTCAAGAATAAAGCAATGGATTAAAACTATAAAAACTATGGAATTCTCAAATTTGGGGGAAAAAATTGAGATAACGGGTCTATAAAATAACCCATCAGAAATACAAAGGTAGAATTTAATCAATGCCTGTTTTCGCATGATAACCACCTATGGAAGATATATTCCTGAAATTGCTAGAAAGGTGTTTAAGAAAAACATGAAATGAGAGAGCCCAAAAAAATGTTGTATTCAAGGAAAATGGAATGTGCTTTTAAATATAAGTCATGTGCATACATTACCTGTATAATTCTTTCAGGTCATGCTCACAATACTTATTTAATTATGGTACATTTGGAAAATTGTGGGGTTTTAAAAAATCATTACTATCATTCTTAATTACTTTAAACCAACACTGGGCCAAAAAGAGTCACCGCTGAAATCTAGTTTTCTAGAAAAAGCTTGAATAAAATTATAACTGAGCAGCACACCATCAAGAATTATATATTTTGACAAGTAGATGTCTTTTTAGGAGTAAAATTTTGAATCTTTCCCATGACCTATTTCAATCAGATCTGATTGTATGAATATATTCCTTATGAGGGGCAAAATTTTATAAGACTCGGCCTCCTTTATATCTATCGCAAATCGCCTCTAATTTTAGAATAAACGATCCTTTCTCTTTTAACGCAGACTATAGATTACTCTTTCATCTGCACTGGTGTATCTCAAATGAGCAAATGTTGAGACATCCAAAAGGCGAGGGCCTCATGAGCAGAGCAATATCTTCAATGGTCCACCTTCTCCACAGGGAAGCTTGTCAATAGACGAACAAGCATATAACTCTTTCTGTATTGTTTCGGGGAAGTTTGCCCTCTTGGAGCATTTATTTTCCTTCAAAAGTGAGACTTTTCTAAAGATTTATAAACTTCTCTAGTACATTAGGCAGTAAACAGAAAATGTAGTAAGCAGGTTTGGCCTTTGAAGAAAAAAATAAAACAAAAGTTTTTAAATACCTAATATGTATATATTTCTATATTTAGCAACATTGATACTAATATGTTAGTATATGGATAATTTAAAATGTGAATTAGTCAAAAATTTTTGAATGACTATGGGACGCTACCCATATGAAATGACTCTCAAAGGCTTAAATTTAGGAGTTTCAAAATGAAATTCTAAGCCATATTCATCTATAGTCTTATGGACTTTTAACCGTAGAAATCGGGAGCTTCAAAAACGGTATTTTATCCATGTTATGCTTTTTGTGCTAAAATATTACCCTTCTGACAACAGAGAACTATTGTTTAATCAGCAACTACACAACTCACAGATATCAAATCATAGGACTGCAAAGAACTATGTGGAGTCACTTAAAGCATTTCCTTGAGTTTTCACTTGAGAATGTGTCTTGTTTTTTAAAACTTTGTGAGAAGAAATGTTTAGACTCTCCCTATGAAACTTCTTACCGCATTTAATTCAAACAGCATCAGAAACCTTGTTCTTGCTCTAAACCTCTCATTTTGTGATTTCGACACGTTTCTTATTCTCTTCTGAAGACACGTTAAATTGGGTAGCCCATACCATAGGAAAGCTGTGTCAGGAAGCTGCACGCCTCCAAACTGTGTGGTAAGGTTACAATCTCAACTGTTAGATTATTGGTATAGAATGGTCCAGAATCAGACCCCAGTCTAAATGGATTTAGTAAATAATTCGTCGCATCACTCAACAGTGGGGAATCAATATGTGACTTTCTGTAATGACATGTATTATTTTAATCCGAAGAAAATTCTTTTAAAATTGAAATGTATGTTAATTCTGTTTCCATTATTGATCAGGACTAGAGGCGTACCCTGTAAACGCAGAAACTCTGAAATCTAGCCAGTTTGTTGTAGATCCAGAGAACGCTAGTGCATGAGGGAGCCTTTTCTGTATTGGAACGTGGGTAGTGGCGTCTGCATTGCTTTTATGGCGATGTGCTCAGCAGCCGCTATCACTGAGTATCTGTATTGTGAGGAGGTGAGTGTGGGAGAGGACATTAGGAGGTACACACGAACAAAGCCACCTCACTTGACTCAAATGAAAAGACTTTTCCAACACACTTGTCCAAACACACAGAAAATATGCATCACTTATAAGGAACGATTTTTTCAGTGATGGTTTATTTTATTCTCTAGTGTATGGACTTCACTAACAGAGAACAATCAAGGCATACATCTATTAACAAACTGCAGTATGAGAATGAAAGGCTCCGAAATGATCTTGCAAAACTTCATGCCAATGGAAAATCAGCATGGGCTAATCAAAATACCTATGAAGAAACGGGCCGGTACACCTATCAAAGCCAAATAAAAATGGAAAAAAATGAAGATAGGTATGCTGACTCCAGATATAAGGACAGAAGTGTATAAACATTTAATTGAAGTTTATTTCTAAACAATTCAAATTATAATTTTATATACTGTTTCTTTAGTTTAAATTTTATTTTGTAGTGATAATGCAGCAAGTGTAGATACATTGTTTTATATGAAATTCTGTGTTCTTAATAGCTCTCAAAATTTTAACAGTGATATGGGTAAAGTGTTACAGTGAGTTTTAGTCACTTCAAACCCTTCTTAGAAGCTGATGTGGCAAACAAAATATGCAAATAAGTAATCTTATTTTTATGTCACAGGAATAGAAAACCTAGAATTTAACATGTTACATACATTGTTCAAACAAAATAGAAAATATAGGAAGATGTCACTTCTGACTTCACTTCAAAAATGTATACACTTTATACTGACGCTCCAGCAGTGGCAACAACCATTGGTCATTTTCTAGGGAAAGAATCTGTGGATGTTTAAGGGAGGCTTTCTCTGAGTGAAGAGAAGCATATGGAAAATCGTATCTGCTGTTCACACTATCCTCGTGCTCTTTAAAATGTCTTAGTTGAAAATTTACGTAAACATATCAACCGTAAAATTAGGCTAATTTATTCAACTCTGATAAAATATTTATAGAATCCAAACTGTCTCTGGAAGCCTTCCACTGTTTTCCCAAACTTGGGAAATGCTCAGCAAAACAAACAAGTTTCTTTTCTAAAGGATCTCTCAGAGCCATTAATATGCTAATGTACACTGTGAGTTTCCAAGAAGGGGTATGGCGTGCAATGTCCCCCAAATATCAGATTTATTAATATTCCATGGTGCTGAGAAATAGCAAATTAATAGGTCCAGACCCAACTTCAATACAACTTTTGCTCAGAGTTCATAATACCTAGTGTGAAAACCCTACATACTGTTTTCGTACACCATAATTAATATTTACAACCCTAGGAAATTTACTTAACCTTTTTAACCCTCCATTTGCCATTTGACAAATAGGGATAATAATTATAAGGTTTTGTGAGGATTATAGGAGAAAACATATAGTTCCATGAATGTAGCCATTATTATTGATATTATTATTACTAACAAAATTTTTTAGTATTTGTAATAATATTAATACTTCCACCACACCTCACAGTGCCTAAAAAAGTATGTGTTAGTGGATAGACGAATAGCTGAATCTAAGATTTCCTCAAAGATAGTCCTGTAGGGAAGTGTTGATGCCAGGCTCATCTTTGTAAGGAATCATGCCCAATGCTGCAGGTAGATAAATCCATAAATCCATGGGCCATACTAAAAAATATGTCTGTTCAGCATTCTTGTGGATACAGTACTTTCACCACCTCGGTCCCATATGAACTAGGAGGATCTATCCCATTCCAGTGCAAGAAGAGCAACCATTCAAAAGAGCTAAATTAGTAACCCCTCTTCAAGGGGTTAAGGAAGGGAATGAGGGAAGACTGGCTCCTACCCCAAAAAAACACTGGTGGTGGGGTGCTCAGGGAGGGGGGAAGATGGGGTTGGCAGCAGTGCAAAAGCAATATGGGGAGGATGGAAGAGGTCACTGAGCCACAGCATGGGCCGGTTCTCTGGTGAATGTGCCCATGTTGACCGGCCAGTATAACTGAAAATCTGTCCACAGGGGTCGAATCTTGATTTTAGTGTAAGACTATATTTTCTAATATAAAATATACCCTTTACAAAGTGCTGGCTACTCTCTGGATTCATTTCTCCGGGGGTCAAATCACGACCTCCACATATGCATGTAGTTTTCTCATTGTAAGAGAAAGGCAGTCCCGTAAAGATATTATAGAGGGTCTTGCTGTGGATCTCAGTCAGTCACTGGTCTGTACTGAGCACCCATTAGGTGCAGAACACTGTTTCCTCTTCTTGCTTGTTGGGAATAACTTTGAAAGCCTTAGCTGAAGGTACCAGGTGTTGTTACTTAGGCTAAAAGACAGTTACTCTGCCTTTTACTCTTTTGAAAAAGTGTTTTTATTATTTGGATTGCCCCCTTTTTTCTCTTTGTTGGGCAGTACGGATTGTGTTAAAAGCACCTAACAAAAACAAGACAGTGGGGGACCCAGAAAGCAACACAAGCGGTAAAGTGCTCAGCGGGAGCTGATCTCAATAAGCAGCTGGGACTGCTCTTCCTGCTGCAAAGCCGTGTGTCCTGCCAGTCTCATTTGTTGAAAGTTTCATTAAATTTGTTTTAATGCCTTGTCTGATTTCATGTTCTCCAGTGACCTGATTTTTAAAAGAAATAGCGTTTCAAATGTTCCGAATATTATCATGTAAAACCCACTATGAAGAAAGAGTTGTTGAGATGCAAAGACGCTGTGAACTCCCCAGTGGAGAACTATAAAGCACATATCTATTAATTTTAACAAGTGCAAAATGATGCACTCTTTCATTCCCTCACAGCACAGCTCAGTGAAGTCGAATAGCAAAAGCCATATATATTTGTTGGGCGTAAAATAATAGGAAAATGCATGAGTCATATTTACATATCAATGGCTAATAAAATAAGGTCTCGTTCAACTATTTTAGAAAGGAAAAAGCTTTTAGGTAAAAGTCTATGAAGATAATATTCCACAAAATTTTAAAGTATGTAGTCGAATTTTTAGCCACTTCTTGCTTCTAACCGAGAAAGGTATGTATAATATGTTATTAAAATAATCTTTTATCTACTCAAAAGCAACTCAATTTTTGTTGTTGTTTTTCACACCTGTTAAAGGTGATAGGAAGTTTTTCATGCTCCTCCACTTAAAATGTGAAGCATTTTAGGACATTCCAAAGGATTTGCTTTCCAATAAGACAGTTATTTAGCACTTTAAAAAAAATATTGTGAATGAAATGTAATTGAATTTGGTGAAAATGTATTGAATATTTTAAAAATTCTTTAAAGTTAGAGTTCTGAAGTTTCAGGATAATTTACAAGCTACTTTGGGATAGTGGCATCCAGAGCTATTAATATATGATAATTGTAATGGCAAATCAGTTTTGTAATAAATGGAGTTTTATCTCTATCTAAGATGCATACTTAAAAGTGAATTTATGATTTTAAAAGGTATATCATGTACTGGAAAATGGAAAGATTTTAGCAAACATTAATCATTAAAATGGCTTCAAATATAGTTAATAAATTAAAAGTTTCTAATACTAAAAAAACCACAAAGGTTTGTCATAACCGCTCTCACAGGATCCCTTGTCAGGGAATGAACAGTCACCTACAAGTGAAAAGTTGAGAAAATGTTGTACCATGGTGCTACTCAACAAGGAACCAAACAGCAGGCTGAGCAGTTCTAGGCCAGGAAGTAATGAGTGGTTCACAAAATAGGGAGCAATCCTGTGGAGCGTGAGAAGGTGAGGCTGGAAGCAGGTCAATTAGCATAGTTTGTGAAGGGATCTTATTCCATGCTGAGGACATCATCCTACAGCCCAGGGAAAATGAATGGAGGGCCAGGATTGGGTGTACCCATCAGATAGCTCTGAAAACTGTGTGGAAAGTCGACTCAAGTCTCAAGTGGGCAGAGCTCTACTCCCCAGCAAAGTGACTGGGTCCTGCCCTTCTGGCAAAAAAGTAGGCAGAGGCCTCCAAACAGGGCCTGTGGCAAAGCTAATGGAACAGACCAGCTTGTGAAGGGGGTATTAAGAACCTTCTGAAGTAATTTTTAAGATAGCTTTTAAATTGATATACTTAGCATTTTATGCTAGGTGGTTTTATGAAGTATTTGAATAGCTGTATTCTAGAAGAAGAACTTGTCAGATATAAAGATGATTTAAAGCGAAAGGACTTTACCTCATAATGTAGCCTCTCCTTTCAATCTCTACACTTTATTGATCTTAAAATAAAAGGAATGTTCATATATAAATTTCAGTAATTAATACCATAAAACTGTATCTATACAGCCAAAGCAAAATGGATAATTGAGATAATTATTTAGATAATTTAGGACAAATAATACTTTCCCTGAAATCTCTGTATAATTGAGATTACAAAGGGATATATATTTCCTGAATCACTTCTATAATTATCTTATTTTTTTCGAGGATTCTTTGAAGTATAGATGGTCGCCTCACTCAGATTAAAAGGTTCAGCTAAAAATTCTATGCAGATGGACTATGCAATTGTTATAATTCTATTTGAACTGTGGGATGTTTCATCTTATTGTCTACATCATAAACCATGTTATTTCAGTTTAATTTGCTGTTCTGTTTCCATGGTAATTATGATTTGAGAAAATGGATAAAAAAAGATATATTTCAAGATAAGTAAAAATGGAAAATATCTTGTGTTTGTTTGTATGTACTAATTTACAGATGCCTCACTCAACTTTTACTGCTATTTGTATGCATAGCTTTGAAAATGTTTGCATAATAAGAAACAAGTCTATATAGACAATTTTCAGACAAGAACAGAGAAAAATAACGTAAATTTTTTTGAACTGTGTAAATTAAAATATGAAGGGTTTCAAAATGATTAATCAATACCTGTGGAGAATTTGAATTATTAGTAAACATAAATAAATAGAAGGGATTTTTATGTTTTCATGGTCTCTGATGATTTCATTTAAACCCCATTTTCAGGAATTAATGTACAGAAAGATATTTATTTAGTCCCAAGCAGCCCATACTATTTGGACCTTTTTATGTAAAATTTTAGGGTAAATTGGTTTGTCTTAGTCAGCATACCAGAATTTAATATTTCACTGGTATTTTATTCGGTCTTATCTTCTTCCATTTATTCATAGCATGAACAACAAATTCTGTACTGTGCCTTTCATCTAAATTGTGGAGTTCAATTCTCATAGCAATCTTTTTTTTAATATGAAAAAATTAAAGTCACAGGAAGATAAAGTCACCTCCTCAAGGTCATGCAAATAAGTGTGGAAGAGTTTAGGAGAGGATGTAAATTAAAAACGTGTTGTAAATTATGAAGTCCTATAGGAATTAGAATGATTATTATACAAAGACTTGTTCAAGCATCAAAAAAAAAAAGTATAATTCTGTTAAGAAAGCCAGTGAGGTTAAGTGAAATAGAGAATAGGAAAAGAGTATCTATTTAGAACTGTCAAGGGCAGCTGTGTTAGCTGTTATGAGATTTTTCTCAAACTGGTTTCATGTTATTTAATTAAATGACAAAGAGATAGAAAAGTAAAACACAGAAAGGGAAGCAATATAGGCAATAAGGATAGCAGAATATTTTTACCAATTACAAAGTTTTTGGTTTCATTATTCATCATTCTAAGTCTTTTAAATGTAGTAGAAATTATTCATCAGGAAAATTATTTTCAAAGAAATACCCAGATAACAAGCCCAAACATTTGTTGTGTTTCCCCCCCAGTTAGACATCAGAGAAATTAAAATCTTTAGCTACATAAACAAACAGGTGTCGCTGGTAGCAACAGTGACCACCATTTCTTCTCTTTTAGACTTAGCCAAGATTGTGAGCCAAATAGAAGTGCAACACCTCCATTGCCACCTTTGCCGTTTCAAACCAAAGAAATGACAAGTCCTTTGCTTAGTGATGATGAAGTATTCCCACTGGTGAGTTGCTGGTTGTTGGGGTTTGTTGGGTTTTTTTTTTTTCCTCTAAGGGGCGATTACTCTTACACTGATACCAATATACTGATGTGTACATAGTTGTTAAAAAAAAAAAAAAGTTGCTCCTTGAATAAGACTCCAAGATGGGTCTGTGAGTTGTTTGGCCATGCCTATCTATAGAAAGAAAAGAGATCCATAAGGTTTCATGAAGTATTTTAGTCCATGGTTATCCGCCTCTAGTGCAGGCCAGAATTGCTGGTGATGCTTTTTTAAAATGCAAGTGTTTGAGACTTACCCCTGGACGTTCCATGAGCCCTCAAAGATCTGTATGTTTTAAAGAGCTACGAGGGATCTTCTGTGCCTGTTTAAAAAACTTTTTATTGACTCTGACATACGTACAGAAATATGCACAAATCAGAATTGGACAACTTGGTGAATTATCACAAAGGGAAGACATCAATGAAACTACCACCCAGGTAATAAATAGAACATTAGTAGTGCCCTAGAGCTCCCACACGTCCCCGCAGTCACTCCTTTGACTTGCTCCCAAGGTAACCGCTATCCTGACTTTTAACATCAGAAATTAGTTTTGACCATTTGTAAATTTTATATAAATAGTATCATACTGTAGGTGTTCTTTTATGTCTGGCTTCTTTTGCTCAACATTGTTTCTGAGATTCATCGTCCATATTGTTTTATATAGCTGTAGTTTATCCATTTTTGTTTCTCTGAGTATTCCGTTGTGTATAAATACTACATACAATGATACTACAATTTATCCATTCTACTGTTGACGAACATTTGAGTTATTTCCTGTTTGTGGCTATTACAAACAATGCTGCTAAAAGCATTTTTGCATGTGTCTTTTGGTGTACATGTGTACACGTTTCCATTGGGTATATACCTAAGAGTGGAATTGCTAGGTCATAGGATATTCGTAAGGTCAGCTTTAGGAGGTACTGCCCAGCTGTTTTCCTAACTGAGCCAGTTAATATCCCAACAAGTAGTATGTGAGTGTTTTTGTGTTATATTCTTTCAAACACCTGGTATGATTGGTCTTTTTATTTTAGCTTATATAGTCAGGGTGTAGTAACGTCTTATTGTGGTTTTAATTCTTATATCTCTAGTGACTAATGAAGTTGAGTACCTTTTCATGTGTTTATTGGCCATTTTGATATCCTTCATTGTTAAGTGTCTGTCAATTGCTTTGCCTAATTTTCTATTTATCTTTATTCTTATTGATTTGTAGGAGTTCTCCATATATTCTGGATATTAGCCCTTTATTGATTATATGTATTGTAGATATGTTCTCCTACCCTGACCTGCCTCTTCACTTAAAGGTATTTTTTGATGATCATTTGATGACCATACGTTTTAATACATTCAAACTTACGAATCTTTTCTTTTATGGTTAATATTTTTTGGTTTCCTATTTAAAACTTTTGCCAGTCCCAAAGTTATAAAAATACTATCCTATTTTATCTTCTAGAAGCTTGGGCTCTTTACTTTTCATATTTAGATCCACATCTGGAATTAATTTTTGCACATGGTGCAAGATAGGATTCTCAGTCCTTTTTCCCATGGAAACAGTCAATTGAACTTGAACATGTATTCCAGTCTTGTGGATTCTTTTCGATTTTCTATGTTCAAAATCAAAATAATGACAGTTCAATTTCCTACTTTCAAATCTTTAAATCTTTTCTTTTTCTTGCTTTATTGTACTGACTGGGACCGCCAGTAGAAGTTGAGTAGTAGAAGTGATATTGCCAGCCCCCTTCTCTGTTCTCAATTGCAAGGGAAAAGCTTTCAAAATTTCACCATTGGGGTTTGATATTTGCTTAGATATTTTGTAGATTCCTTGTAAAAAATTAAGGAAGTTCCCTTTTTTCCCTAGATTGCAAAATTTGTTTTCATGAATTGATATTGAATTTTATCAAATGCTTTTTTGACTCTACTGAAATAACCATATGATTTTCTCCTTTGCTCTGTTACTGTGATGTTTTTTTCTTGGTTTTAGATTCTTAAGCTAACTTTGAATTCTTGAAATAAAGCCCCCTCAATCGCTGGATTTGGCCTGTTTATATTGGTTCGGAATTTTTGCTTTGCATTCATGAGAGAACTTAGCGTATAACGTTCCTTTGTTGTCTTTGCCAAGCTTTGGTATCAGAGTATGCTGACCTGATAAAACAGGTGGGAAGGGTTCTTAATATCATATTCCTTTATTTCTTCATTTTCCTTGACTTTCTGTGTTGGTTTCTATACATAGGATAAAAGAGCCACCTCTCCTGGTCTTGAAGAAGTTGCCTCATGTAGGTTAATTTCAGTTTTAATATTTTTTAGTTCTTGAATTTTCATTTGATTTGTTTTTACAGTTCCCAGTTCTCTGCTAAAAGTTTCTACCTTGAATTTAATTTATTGAACATAATAATCACAGTTTTTTAAAGATATGTAGATTTTTCCCCCTCCGAAAGTAAATAGTAGTACTCTTACAATTGCTTTCACTTGTATTCAGAGTATATTAAGTAATGTTTCCGTGCTTCTCTGTGATATACTGATATTGGATACAAATTATAAAAAACAGCAAACAAAAAACAAAACAAAAACAGAAAATGTTTAAACTGGATGGGGTATCCCGTGAGTGCTCTTCTGCTTTTCCGGAATCTCTCTCTTTCTTTTGGGAGAGACTGGAAGTAAGATTTAAGCTATTGTGGAAGAAGGAAAACACTTAAGACAAATAACGTTTGAAGTTTTAGAGATCTCTAAAGCCCTAAAATGCGTCTTTGTGCTCATCTCCACGTAAAATGCCAAAATTATTTGGACAGAATAAAATTCCATAGCAATAAAGTAAACTAAATAAAGTTCCTCATTTAAGCTATGGGAACCTCTAAGGGGTCTTAGCAAATTCTGTGTCAACAAAACTTCAATCTTTAAGGACTCCAAAGTAAGCACATACTCCAGTCAAGCAAGAGAAAAAAGTGATAAATTGCTAAATGCTCCATTGTTCTCATATCAGACGATTTTATTATTTGGGGATCATTCATCTTTGCTCAAACATCACCTCCTCAGAGACGCCTGAGCAGCCACCCTGCCGTGGCACCACCCTCTTTGTGCCCTATCCCCTTGTCCTCTTTCTAGTTTTTTCATAGCACTTCCCCAAAAAACATTTATTTGTCTGCTTGTTTGTTTGCTCCCTCCTCTAGAATTGAAGCTCCATGAAAGTAAGGATTTTTTCTATTTTTGTTTACTGTTGTAACCCCAACACCTAAAATAGTGCCTGACACTAGTAGGCACGTAAAAGGCGTGCAGGAATATCTGTCATGTTAAACTGGTGAACACTGGGCTCCCTTCCACCTCTAAAATTCAACATTACTCCCTTGATGAGTTCCAAGCCCCAGCATCACCAGGAAAGAAAATTCTCAACTGTTGTAGGTCTGGGCATGGGGAACTTAATCTGTGATGGAGGCACTAAAGTTCCCTGAAAGATGGCCCAACCCACTCTTCTAGGTCCACTGGTTTCCATCCACTACTGCATTTTGACTTCTACATCAATGCTGTTCCTACCAAGACAACCACTGACCTCCTGGTTGTTAGTGCAATACACACCCTTAAGAGCTCTTCTTTAGTCCTCTTTTTTTTTTTTTTTGAGGAAGATTAGCCCTGAGCTAACTGCTGCCAATCCTCCTCTTTTTGCTGAGGAAGACTGGCCCTGAGCTAACATCCATGCCCGTCTTTCCCTACTTTATATGTGGGATGCCTACTACAGCATGGAGTGCCAAGCGGTGCCATGTCCACACCCAGGATCCAAACCGGCGAACCCTGGGCCACTGAGAAGCGGAACATGCAAACTTAACCTCTGCACCACCTGGCTGGCCCCATAGTCCTTTTTTCTTGAAACGCTTATGGTCTCTGGCTTCTATGCCACTATTCTCCACTGGTTCCCCTGCTTCCTTTCTGTTTACTCTTTCCCAGTCTGCTTCCAAAGTTCCCTCCTATACCTGTTCCTTAAACATTAGTGTTCATCATTCATTCATTCATTCATAAAATAAACACGTATTAAGCACCAACTATATGGCAGGTTCTGTTCAAACACATCTTCGATGACACAGACAGGTCTACTGTCTGGTAAAAAAAAGAGGGGAACTCCATCAACAGATGAATGGATAAATAAATGGTGGTATATACACACAATGAAATACTATTCAGCCATAAAAAGGAGTGAAGTACTGATACATGCTATACATGTACAGTACTGATACACGCTATACTGTGGATGAACCCTGAAAACATTATGCAAAGTGAAAGAGGCCAGACACAAAAGATCATATATTGTATCATTCCGTTTATATGAAATGCCAAGAATAGGTAATCCACGGAAGCAGAATGCAGCTTGGTGGTTACCAGGGGCAGGGGAGAGGGGGAAATGGGGAGCAACGGCTTAATAAGTACAGACTTTCCTTTTGGGATGATGAAAATATTTGGAACTAGATAGAGGTGGTAGTTGTGCAACATTGTGAATGTACTAAATGCCACTGAATTGTTTATTTTAAAATGGGTAATTTTATTTTATGTGCACTTTACTGCAAGAAAAGAGGGATCAATGAATGACTGGAAACAAATGAGCAAATAAGAAAATAGTGATAAATGCTGTGATGGAAAGAAAAGCTGGTGATGTGATCAGGAGTGATGCAACTGTGGGGATTACTGTAGATGGAGTGGCCCCCACTGAGGAGGGGACATTTGAGATGTAAATAAAAAAAAAAGATCCAGCCTTGCAAAGACCTGGAGGAAGAGTGCTTCAAGAATAGGGAATTACTTCTGCACATCTGTAAGGCAGGAACAAGTTTGGTAAATTCGAGAACCAGAAAGGGGTTGAGGGGTCTGGAGCTTGGAAGGGAAGAAAGACAATGGAATGAAATGGAGACAGAGAACTAGGCAGAGGAAGTCAAGATATGCAGAGACTGTAGGCCATGGAAAGCAATTTGGAATTTGATTTGTTTCCTGTTGGAAAGCTGCAAGTGGGGGGAGTACATGATCTGTTTAAAATTTTTGAAAAGATCCGTTTGACTTGCAAATAAAGCATCCATTATAGGGGGGCAAAGGTAGAAGTGGGGAGAACAATTGTCAGGCTATTTTGGTGGTTCAGGCAAGAGATGATGATATTGGCTTCACAGCAGTGGAGGTAGAGCAACATGTTGGATCCAGGAAATGTTTTGGAGGCAGACCAGTCTTGACAATGGATTGGCTATGGGGAGTGAGGGAAAAGAGGACTCAAAGATGACTCCTAGGATCTCAGTCTGAGCATCGGGTGGATGCTAGGACCACTTTCTGACCTGAAAGACTAGGGGAAGGAGCAGGGTTAGAGGAGAAAAATCATGATTTCTAGATTGGACATTTAAATTTAAAATGTTTTTAGACATGCAAATGGAGATTTCAAATAAGCAATAGAGTGTGTGAATCTGGTATTCGAGGAAGAGATCAGAGCTGGAAATAAAATATAGGCGTAATCAGCATATGGCTGATATTTAAATCTGTGGGACTGGATGAGAGTGCTTAAGACTATAAATGAAGAAACTGTCCCAAGACAAAGCCTTGACCATAGCATTTAGTGGTCCAGTGGGAATCTTCAAGGAGAGGAGGAAAGTTTGATGGTGAAGGAGGTGGGACCTAGGGAGGGACGAGGTTCATTTGCAGAAGCAAAGTCATGTGAAGGTAAGAAGGAATAGAACCACAGCACGCGTAGAACAGTCTTTGAAACAGAGTGTGACCCAATATAAGGCTCCAGGTGCACATGGGTGTGGAGACATGAGGGCGCTTCCACTTGCGAAAAAGGTGAGGCCACAAGGTAATGACTAAGAAAGTGAACATTCTAGAGAAGTGCAGTAGAATGGCCGGGCAGTGTTAACTGGCCATTTGACATTTGTGATTGTGAGTTTAAAGTGAAACCAGTCCCTGCAGTAATGTAAATCCCAGCATTCAGCTGCTCAGGTGCAGACGTGGCTCAGACCGTTTAATTAGGCCTGGGTTTTACCAAGTACCTGGGATGGGGACAGGATACAGGGAGGGGCAACTTGCTGACTGGTTATAATGATGGATATGGAATATAAGCAGAGTTAGAAGGTAACGCATGACAGGAGAAAGTGGGAGTACTAGGCTAAGTAAGCCAGAAGAATGATAGGTGAGTGCTTAAAAGCTTGACTAGTAAATAATGCGGTTATCATTGATGATGGTGTCAAGAACATGACCATGGGAGTGGGTGCCTGAAATGAAGTGTTCCCCAGGATTCATTTTTGAAATTCTTCTTCTTTTATTTGCATATCTTGGATGATATACAAATAGACTCAGTTGGATGAGTCCAACTGAAATTGGATGAGTTGGCTTTAATTATTATCTATAACTTGCAAATATATATCTCTGATCCAGACCTGTCTTCTGAGATCTGGACTGATATAATATATCCCAGTGTCTACTTGACAATCGGTCTGAGTCCTAAGTCACCTCTAACTCAGCATTATTCAAAATCGAATGCATTTCCTTCATTCATATATTAAATTCAAAAATTTTGAAAATATACTCTGTGCCCGAATCTGTGCTAGAATCTGGGGAAAATAGATAAAACCTTACCCTTAATGGGCTTCTTCCACTGTTTTTCCTTTCTCAATAAATGGCATTGATGTCCCCCAGTCATTCAAGCCAGAGTCTAGGAAGTCATCTGTCTGAGGTCAGGTTTTCTAGAACCTGAGATGGAGATTCTTGTGACAGTGACTTATTGAGGAGGTATTCTCAGCAGAAAGAGAGTGAGGGACGCAGGCAAGGCGAGGGGAGGAAGGCTAAACAAGGATGAGGTCTCAGCTACAGATCAGTTTAGCCTGGTCTCCCCAGGAGCTTGAAGCATCAATTGTACAACACAGTTGGTTCCCCTGGAGACAAGCTCTCTGGCATTTTGTGATCCCATGCCAATCAGTCGTTGCCTCTGAGAGGAAAGGGAACGGGCTGAGGGGAGATTGCAACTTCCCAGAGGCGGTGGAAGGCTCTAGTTCAGCTGAGGGCAGGTCTCCAGAGAAGTGGCCAGCTGTGAGCTGTTAGCAGCCAACACCCACAGCAGCTGGAGGATAGAGGCACCAGCCTGGAGAAGGGGATGTGGGTAGGGCACCAACAGCATCCACTATAGTCCACCTCTTGAACCACTCAGATCCATGTTCTTCTCACATTGTTCATTCCATTCAGGTATAGCTTCTCCAAGATTCTGGCTGGTCGTAATTTCTGGGAAAACTTATAAGAGGAGGGTTAGTGGGACAAACTACAGCCCTTGTGCTGTAATTGGTCTCAAGGACTTAACTGATATTCATCATCTCCTTACCCATTCTAGATTCCCCTCCCATTGGCTGGCACTTCTGTTGAACAAAGCTGTTTGCCTTTGTGGGGTGAGTCCCTGGTTCCCATGCCCTTATCAGGATGTGGTTTGCCATTTACAGTTAAAACTAGGCATGAGACTACCACAAGACTACCTCAGTGAGTCACCTCACTGCCAAACATTTCCTCGCTGCCTCCATTAAGTAGTAGTAGTCTTACCTCTTCATGATACTTAGGGTCGGTTACCTCTGCCAGTGTAGTACCTCTTTTCTGTGCCTCTGACCTGTTGGCACAAGGAGCCTAATGTGACTAGGTGCCAGCCAAAGCTTTGAGTTTAGAGAGACTCTTACAAGTCTCTTGGTGGAGATGTTCCCCCTTTGAGACCCAGGACCTGTAGAGCAACAGAGCCTGAAGGTACTGAGACAGAAGGTACAAATTCTCCAAGTGATTCAACAGAAGTGATAGAGAGTGGAACCATTCCTACATCCTCCCTTTTGTTCATAGATCTGTGTATTCTACCTGTTGGAAACACAGTGGCATATAACAGCCATTGGTTTAAAGTCTATACCATATCCTGAAGAATGGCAGCCTGTCTTCATAGGATATGATCTTCAAGCTGATGCTTCAGCTGTGCCTTCAAGAAGCCTATTAGCCTAGCATCCTGTGGGTGGTGCTGTTTGTGGTGGGACCAATGGATACCATGGTCATGCCACCATTGCCATACTCCTCTGCTGTAAATTAGGTTCCTTTACTATTAATCAAGATCCCATGTCAGTAAATCAGTCACTCTGTGCGCCCTCAGATAGTGGTGCTGGCCAGGGCTCTGCAGGCAGGAAAGGCAGACCCATGGAGTACATGTCAATTCTGGTAAGGATAAAACATTGCCCTTTCCAAGGTGTAAGGGACCTGATGTGATCTGATTGCTACCAAGAGGCTGGTTGGTCTCCTTGAGGGCTGGTGACATCTCAGGAACTCAGCTTTGGTCTCTGTTGCACGTAGATCAGACATTCCACATCAACAGTAGCTGGATTAACCTTGGTGAAAGGGAGACCATGCTCTTGGACCATGCATATTTCTACTGGAGTGGCCAAGGACAGAGACTAGATCAAGTCATCCTGTTCACTTCTCAGATGCTCTGTCTCAACCAGGGCTCAGTGACATGACAGCAATTGTTTCACAAGTACTATACAGTTTTCTGCTATGGATGGCATGGCCTTGCTCCAGAATCGTAAGGGTTTGCAGCACAACTTTCCCATTGAAACTTGCAGAGGCTCCACAAGGCATTTTTCTTTACCAGAGATTCTTCTAGTATGGGATCTGCTAAGTCATTTGGCCCAAGTAGCAGGACTGCTTGTACCCCATTCCCAACCTACTGCAGAGCTCTTTCTTGTTCTGGGCCCTGATCAAAAAAAAACAGCTTTCTGTGTCACCCAATAAGTGAGTCAGATTATTCCACCCAAGAGTGGAATATTCTGCCTCCAAAACCTGAAGAGATCTACCAAGCTTTGTGCTTCTTTTGTAGTGATTAGAAATACAAGGCATTAATGTGTGCTTATGAGGAGATGTTCCGACATGCTCCATATCACTGGACACCTAAAAACAATGTGTCAAGCCCCTGAATCTTTTGTGGGGCTTATCTTTCACTGGAGTACATGTGTCTTTCCAAGCCTTCAACATGCTTGCCACTTCTTGCTCATCAGGTCTTATTAGCATGATATTAATGTTAATATATGATGTCCTATAGACTATAGTCCTTGGAAGGCCCAGATGATCTAGGCTTCCTCAGAATTTATTGTGATGGCATCATTAACATGAAACATAACATTGGGATAAGAATGTGGATGGATACTGTTGTCCATTCCATGTGAATGCTAAGTGCTTCTGATCCTCCTCCTTATTGGGTATTAAAAAGAATGCATTTTCCGGATCAACAGCAGCATACCATGTACCAAGGCTGTGATATTCTGCATAGTAAATATACTCTATCTGACATAGCAGCTAAGTGTGGGACTACCGCTAGGATAAGTTTGCAGTAATCCACTATCATCTACCAAGGTCTATATATTTTTGGCAGGGGCCAGACTTGGGAACTAAATCCCCCTATAATGAAATTCACTGCACACAGATTGTTGCCTCTTCAAACACTTTATAAAGTCCCCTTCTTCCTAATCCAACAAAAGTTGAGGAAGAGTCTAGGGACCACAGAGCTGGAAAATTAAGGTACACATTTCCTCAACTTATTTTTTTAAATTAACCCCAAAATTATTTTGAATGAAGCTCCATAAAATAATCTAATATTACCCTTTATTCATCAGCCACAGATTTTGGTTGTGTGTGTGTGTGTACGCATGCACACGTGTAAATAAGCATTAAACACGTCACAAACAGTTCAACAGCATTTCCACATAACCATGAAGGGTGGAAATGGGCAGTCATCACTAACGCTTTCTCAACCATAATTGGACAAACAAGATACATCCAGCATCGTGGCCCACCCCACTGAGAAGCCGCTTTTACCCCTGAGATGTAACAGGCAGCCAGCCTTCCCCAGCTGGTTAGCTTCAAGCAGCAATTAGCCCCCTTATTAAGCCAATCTTAATTTTTTTTTTCCTACATAAGCTTACTTTACTCAATCCTCCTATAATCTTTAACTTTTGGGAGTTACCTATTTTAAGATGAAAATCATTGGCTTTGCAAATTCCTGGAGTATGTTTGAGGCAGGTGCCATGGTAATTACATTGTCCCTGCATTTGCAGTTGAACATGATAATATTCACTTCTAGAGCTTTGCAATGTACTGGAGCCGTGGTGTTTTAGTTCCTTGAGGATTTCATTAGCAGTGACTGCATTACTTTGGTAAAGGGAGTTGAGCTTACGATGTATTATTTCATTAAGAGCGCAGTGTTTGACAATGTCAGGGATGCAGCATGTCTGGAAATAGGAAGATTCAAAAGGCTTTGTGTTCCTCATCTAACGTTTCCTTCTTTCTTTAGTCTCCCCCAGACATGTCTTTCCCAGCTTCTCTGGCTGCACAGCAATTCCTTCTGGAGGAAGAAATGCGAGCAAAAGAACTTGAAAAACTTCTAAATACGCATATTGATGAACTACAAAGACATACAGAATTTACTCTTAATAAATACACCAAGCTAAAGCAAAATAGACGCAGATGAGCTTTTAAACTTTTTTGTTTGCTTCCCCTACCCCAAGCAAAAAAGCTCTGGCAAAATATTTACAAAGCTGATTAATGAAACTGAGAAATTTTGTTCTGTTTTCTTGAGTAAATCATTTTGTAAGGCAGCTAGAACATAGTATTTTCTTCGATAAAACTTTGTACTTCTGCATTCACGTAATGAATTGTTCATCTGTAGAGTTACTGTAAAATAAACACGACAACTCCAGAAGAGATTTTTTTTTTTCAGTCTAAGGACTATTTTGGAAGTAAATATGCAGTTGTTTTCCCACCTGAATCGCGTATACTGAAAACCCGTTTCCTCTGTAACAACGCAGAAGGAGGGAAAGAGAAGCACTGTATTCCAAACCTGGATGAATCAAGCACAGCTCAGTTGTACTAGGTTTGAAAACTCAAGGATTTTTATAAATGAAAATATTAAGTATTTTTGAGCTATGTAAACATCCTAAAATTTCTTTTAGGAAAAAAAAAAAAGATATAGTTTACTGTTTCTGCATTTCCCTTTGTGATGTTTCTCTGTTTCAACACAATAAAGGACATGAAATGTGCTGTGTACACACTCAAAATATATGTGCCAAAGATTAATGCTTTCCTGTTAGTGCCAATTACTTCATGGACGTGAACATGATAAAGAAAATATAAAGCATTACTGTTGTTACGTTCTCGTTTGTAATCACTTTTATTTTTAATATGTTAAAGGGATACAAAATTCTATGGACTTAAAACATAAATGCCAAATCTGTATAGAACAGTAATAGCATGGTAGTGAACAATAAAATTCAAGTTACAAATATGCAAACATGATAATCCATTATTCTTTCTTTCAAAATGATATTTATATAAAGATTATGAAAAAATCCCTATGTAGTTACTCAAGGTAAGTCCTACAACTTTTATAGTTTTCTTTTTCTCTTGGAAGAAACTAAATCTCAACATACCACAGGTACGTCAAGATGTCTTTAGATAACCTGTGTCATTGTCATGTGAAAAATGCAGAGCACTGACAAGACCATGTGGATTTGTATAGCTCTTGGTCTTTGCAAAAAGCCTTCGCATAGCATTATTCATTTCAGCCCCAAACAAGCCTGTGAAGTCAGTAAGGTTCGCATCCTTGTTCCTGAAAATCAAGCTGTTAAGGAACTCACTCAGAATCACCGTGAGCAAGAGTCAGGAACACCTGGCTTCTGATTCCTGGCTCCGACTCTTACTACTTGCCGGTATCGCCTCTCACGAGCAAGCAGAGGTGAACAATGCTGTATCTGCAGAAGCCATGTCATCACAAAACATCAGAGGGTACAAAGCCTTTACTGTACCCCAGAAAGCCTCACAGGAGGAAAATAATAAAAGTTACATTTCTAGCCTAGACACAAAGAAAATACTTTTCAATGTTATCTTTGGAAGATGGGAAGAAAAATTATGTTTAGGAAAAGCGAATTCCATAAAGAAATTCTAAAACCTTTATCCCTAACACAAATGCAAACAATGCAAAAGTTTAAATATGCATATCATTATCATCCCCGAACTCTGAATGCCACTTCCTTCTCTTCAGGGGTAAGACGTGATTAACGGTTGTGTGCTGAAATAAAGATCTAGGCTACAATGTTCTTAGAGCTTAGCAGAGTCAAGAAAGCGCGAACTTGGAGAATGTCCAGGACTAACAGTGAATTTGTTCCTCTGGAATTATTATTTCAAGTCCATAAGCAAACTTCTTTTAAATCAGTAGTTCAGCATTCCACTTACTACCAGCTTTCTTAAAATAGAGGTTTTCAGTATTTTTTTGTTTAGCAGCAGCATTCGGTGTTCAAAAGGAGTCACATGCTGACACCCAAGAGTATATAATCAAGAGGAAAAGCAGGCAGCTCTGGTTGCACGTTGAAAGGAGGGCAGGAGGGAGGCCTCCCTGCGGTTCGTCCTCACTCTGTCCCCTCCTACCCACCACAGGCCAAAGGGACTCCATGGAGCTGTTGCCCCAGAAGTTGTGGGAGGGTCTGAAGGAGAGGCGGATTTGCTATGATTACTTTAGCATGGAATACGTTTTCCTACAGAAACAAGTCATGGATAACGCTTATAACCTCCTCCATACCACAAAAGCCAATTCAGCCCGTGATGTAGCTAACATATGATGGAAGGAGCAAGAGGAGGGATACAGGAGAAAGACCAATCGGCCATCTAACACTGGAAGTCAGCCCCAAGAGGAAGTGTCGTGACTTGAGTTAACTTTTGCCTCCTAATGGCTTAAATATACACTTTTACTTCTCAATTATCCAGGAACAGTTTAACTGGTTTGGGAATTGGGCAAATTTGGGAGAGGGAGGGATGCTGGGAAATCACAGATAACCCTCAAATTTCAGTTAAGACAAAATGACAGATAACTCTTGATTATCTGCTAACAGAGCTGCTCTGGCTAAATGGAGCTTTGAGTCTCCCCAGTGCCATCATCCTGTGACTCAGCCCCACCCAGGCCCTGACTATCTCCTTCCACTCTGGGAGAGCAACCAGAGCTAAGCAAATTCGGCTGCCTAATTAAAGAGGCCTGCCTGGAGGTGAGTTTGTCTAGGTCCCTGCTATACCTCAACCATGGTTAATCTGACCCAAGCAACCTAGAAACAATTGTAGTTTTAAGTGATGTGGGGTTATCCTCTCCTCATCCCATTACCTCAGTGTAAATTTCCTCTTTATATACATGCCTCCTGAATCTCCAACTGGCCTGAAAGCTGCCACAAGAGAGGAGTATTCTTAGGCTCCTTTGCCCCCGTGTGTACCTAGCACAAGTCCTGGTCATGGGAGGTATTTGATAAGTAGTGATTGATGGGTGGATTAAATCCTGACATGGGGGCTACCTTTAGCAAAGGCAAGGAGGAGAGGAAGTTTGGAGCAGTTTAGGGTACAATGACAAAATACTAGGTGTACCAAATGGTTAGCTGCAGAAAAGTGCACAAACTGAATTTTTCTGAATGCTAGTGGGTGTGGAGGGAGATTTTCACTCATATTTGACCTCACATAGGACTATCTGAGCATCTACCCACTCCTTTTACATGTTTCAACTAATGTCTAATAGGAATCTAATATGGAACATTCGCCATGGTGCTTAATGGTCAGAGCAAATGAAACCATAAAAATCCCAGGACGTGAGCAATGCAGGAGGAAGCGTGAGGGGGATTTGGACCCACGGACTTACACTAGCAACTGAAACTCTGCACAACCCTTCCAACTCTATAGCCTAGAGCATCACCAGGAGCTACACCCTAAAGGATGAAAGATTCTAAACGATGTAAGGCTCTCTCCTCCTATAATGAGGTTGCACCGGACGGCCCAAGGATGATAATAAATGGACCTACTCAGCCCTGGCTGAGGGAAAATCCTGGGGAAAAGTTTTCTTGACCTTTGGGAAACTTCCAGGGCAGAGGTGAGGCGGAAGCATTGGCAAAAGTAACAGAAGTCAGCCAGGCAGTGTTCAGAAGCTGCCCCTCATCACCATCCTCCAACATGGGTCAAGAGGGGTCACAATCTTGTAACAAGGATAAACATGAGTCAGAGTCAGGCAGGCAATTACTATTATGGTGACCAACAATCTCACTGCAGAGCAGAACTGCCAGATGATCTAGAACAGCAAGGTTTCCAACAGGGAAGCCCTCAGCAAGGCCAAGCGTAGAACGAAGGAGGTGCTCAGTGCTACCCAGCTGGCCCCAGGACCAGGCTAGAAATTCTTAGGTCTCAAGGTTCTCCTGTGCATGAAGACAGGTTTGGTCTGTTGGAGGCAAGGGATTCTCCAAGCCTTGGCCCTGGGACCTTAAAGAAGCTTCCTTTTCCTTATCTGTAGAACAGGCATAATAATACTACCTGTGTCAGAGGATTCTTGTGAGGATTAAAGGAGGTGATGTACAGAAAGCAGTTAGCACATCGGGAACATAGTGAGTACTCAGTAAACGTCGGTTGTTAGCACTTGTTGCCATCCTTGCCCTCTGAGACATCAGGTCTGAGCTCAGAAGATGAAACACCTCCTCAAAGAATAATACTATCATTTATTGAGGACCATGTGCCAGCCCCTATGGTATAAATTAAACTCCTTTAATCACTAACAGTTTTATTAAGAATAATTTACATACCATAAAACCCACCCATTTCAAGGGGATAATTCATGATTTTTACTAAATTAACAAAGTTGTGCAAACATTGCCACAAGCCAATTTTAGAATGTTTCCATCACCCCAAAAAGATCCCTTATGTCCATCTCAGTCACTCCCTCTTCCCACGCCCAACCCCAGGCAGCCGCTGAACTACTTTGTGTCCCTGTGATTTACCTGGACATTTCATATAAATGGATTCATATAATATGTGGCTCCTTTCATTTAGTATGCTTTTGTGGTTCGTATTGTAGCATATATCTGTATTTTGTTCTTTTTTTATTGCTGAATGGTATTCTGTTGAATGAACAAACCATGTTTTGTTTATCCATTTCATCAGTTGATGGGCATTTCAGTTGTTTCCAGTTTGGGGCTATTATGAAGAAAGCTTTTAGGAAAATTTACATACAAGTCTCTGTGTGGACACATTTTCATTTCTATTTGAGTAGATTCCTAGGAGCAGAATTTCTGAGTCACATGGCAAATTTATGTTTAACTTTTAAATGAAACTGTTAAACTGTTTTCCTAAGTAGCTGCACCATTTCACATCCCACCAGAAATGTATAAGGGTTCCGATTTCTCCATATCCGCTTCCATACTTATTACTATCTACCTTTGGATTATAGTTATTTCAATTTCAGTGTGTGTGAAGTGGTATTTCATTCTGGTTTTAATTTACATTTCCCTAATGACTAATGATGTTGAGCATCTTTTTGTGTGTTTATTGACCATTCATACATCTTTTTTGGTGAAATGTCTATTCAAATCTTTTGCCCATTTTATAATTATTTCTCTTCTTATTGAGTTATAAGAACTCTTTATATATTTTGGGTATAAGTCCTTTTTTATACATATGATTTGCATTTTTTTCTCCCTGATTATAGCTTTTCATTTTCTGAATGGTGTCCTTTGAAGCACATGTTTTTCATTTTGATACAATACAATTCATCCATTTTTTTCTTTCATGGATCATGCTTTTGGCACCACATCTAAGAAGTATTTGCCCAACTCAAGGTCACAAATATTTTCTCCTATATTTTCTTCTAAAAGCTTTACAGTTTCAGGTTTTACATCAGTTTATGATTCATTTTGAGTTCATGTTTTTGTATAAGAGTGTAAGTGTCTAGATTTATCTTTTTACATGTGGATATCCCATTGTACCAACACCATTCGTTGAAAACACTATTCTTTTCCCCATTGAATTGTCCTGACACTTTTGCTGAAAATCAATTGACCATAAATATAAGGGTTTATTTCTGCACTCTTAATTCTGTTCCACTGATCTAGAAGTCTACCCTTATGCCAGTACCACATAGTCTTAATTATTGTAGCTTTGTAGTGAGTTCTGATATTGGGAAGTATAAAACCTCCAACTTACAAGGTTGTTTTGGCTATTTGGGGCCCTTTGTATTTCCACGTAAGTTGTAGGATTAGCTTGTCAGCTGCAATTTTTGCAAAAAAAACGCCTGCTGGGACTTTGATAGGGATTAAAATGGCAATTTTCTCCAAATTGACTTACATTGAATCTCAATTTGGGGGGAATTACCATCTTAATAATATTGAGACTTCCAATCAATCCGTGAACATGAATTCTCTCTCCCTGTATTCAGATCTTCTTTAATTTCTCTTAGAAATGCTGTACAGTTTTCAACATGTAAGTCTTGCAGTTCTTTTG